CGTGTGCGTGGCCACACTGCTGGGTGCTGCTCTGCAGACTGGCACACCAGCCTGAGATGAACGGCAGGAATGGACCATGGACAGGTACTTCTGTTGCTTTGTTTGTTTACATTTTATGTTAAAATATTGGTTTGAATTTAACTGTGGTAATTTATAGCCTCATGGCAAAATGAAGGAAAATGTCTTACTTATACAGAGAGCAGTATTGTATGAGTTAAATTATCCCATATTTTTAAATTTTTGTAGCTGGACTACACACAGATCTTAAGTTATGATGTTATTTTATTATTTATTATCATTTCTGTCGATCAGAAGGTTGGCTTCACCAGTAGCACAATTGTAATCTGTTTGTGTGATGTTACCTTCTCCCTGGTCGCTGGGGGGGATGGGAGCAGAGCTGGTCTCAGCGGCTGTCAGTAGCTGCTGCCTCTCGTGACTTCCAAGGATGCTGTTATACCGGGGCAGAGAACCTGTCAAGGCTGGTCCGAGAGGGATGGATGCAGTCAGCTCCCTGGGCCCTGTGATACTCCTCGTGGTCGATGCTGCAATTTGCTCGTGTTGCTGGTAGAGTTGGCAGCCCCTGAGCTGATGGGGCATGGTGATCAGGGAGCGAGTGGCTTTTGAATTGATCACAAAGTGAATAACCATCACAAGATCCCCTGGCAAGAGCATCCAAAAGGACAAGCGGAGAGGAAGGCAATTGCTCTGGGCAGCGGGTACAAGATCAGGGGTGGCCAGCAGTGGATCCCACATGGTGGATCACCCGTGCAGGACCAAACAGGCTGCTGGAGAGGAGAGGGAGTGACCAGCTCACCCGTGCTTGAAGCAGCAATACTCAGCTCTGGGTGGAGGCAGAATGCGGAGGGGAGTGAAGCTCTTTTCTGGCTTGTTTCTTGTTTCCTCTCTCTTCCCATCCCTCATTCCTCTTCCCAAATGTTCTCTGTCTCTCGGCCAGTGGCAGGAGGAGGTGGCAGGGCCAGAGATGGCTTTGCTGTCATGGTGTGAGAGGGGTTTTGGTGTGGAAGAGGGGGTGCAGATGGTTACTCAGGAGGCTGGAGACCGGGGTGCAGGCATTTAGCAGTGGAGAACTGTGTGCATGTAACGTACGCACACAAAGAGGAAGACCAAACTATTGCATAAAGAGAGGTTGAGAACTACCATCAAATGTCCCCCACAGCAGAGGATGTCAGGCCTTACGCCCCTGGAGAGACTCTGCTGCTCAGATCTGGCAGGCTTCCTGAGCTCCAAAAGGCAGGGCTGTTTGCTGCCTGCAGGCAGTGTGATGTCAACCCAGTCCATGGCCCTGCAGTGCCCACTGCCTGTGGGCAGCACTGGTGTCCTAGGACAGCCCTACAGCAATAGGCTCAAAGCAGAGCTGCCTCCGGCTCAGACCTGTCAGAGTCTCTGTGCAGGGACTTCAGTCTGTGATGGTTCAGTCCCTAACAAAAAGATCCCAGAGGGGTTTTGGTAGCTGTGGTTTGCTTAGAGCTCCTTCACCATGTGATGAAGCTCCTCTGGGCTTGCAGAGAAGCATAGTTTCTTTACATGCCCGGGTCATTGCACTGTTACGGTCCAGCGTTGCTCCTTGTAACTGCTGCCTACTATGCAGCGTCCCTCTGGGACTGCCACTAGGGCTGCTCCCCCTTGCCTAAATGCATAACCCTGTACCCATGGAGATGTAATCCCAGCTTCCCCCTGCACACACATCTCGTGCCCTTGGCTGTGTGTGGGCAGGGGTGGCTTGGCAGCCCCCCGTGTTCCTGGGACGGTTGCCGTCAGTTCTGCGGGGCATTATATACGCATTTTCTTCAGTGAAACCTACCCAGAATTGCACATAGGTGTGATCTCCACCTTGCTGTATGGGTGCCTCTGCTGCGGTTCCTCGCATTTTCTCTCCTAGCAGGGTATGGGGCTGAGAGGTGCAAATTGGCCTGCTTCCTCCTCGCAGTAACACCGCATTTGCAGGACAGAAATAAACCGTGGGTTCCCTTTTCGGCATCCTGACTACCCTGATCCAGTTCTCGTGGCTGCTGACAGCTCCTGAACACTAGCCTAGATTTTCTCCCAGAGCTGAATGTTGCCTTCCCCACTGTCGTGTTAAGTAACTATTTCATCTTGGCCCTGTCCAGTAGTGTTCATCTCTCTCCTCCCTGCTCTGCGGATTCCTGATACAAACTTGATTTTTTTTGTATTGAACAGTGTACAGTGATGGAAACAAGAATGACTATCAAAGCAAACAATGCATGGAATAAAAAGCCAGTGTACTTCAATGCTTCTCAGGCTGGTCTGGTGATCTGGGAATGGTTTCTCATGTACTTTGGGATAATGTTATGAAGCCTTTTAATAACTAACATGATGTTAGCAAGCAGCTTGTTGTTACCTGTCTCTGAACACAGCTGAACTGGACCTACTGGGAGCTCCAAGTAGCAGGGCAGAGGCTTGGTCGGACACACATAGTCCACCAAGCACCCAGGTGCCCCCAAGTATTGGCTTTTGCTCGTCAGATGAGTGATTTTTGCAATTGATTGAATCTGCAACCATGACTTCTCATCCTAGGAACCTTGCTGTCCCACTCAGTTCCAACCCTGCTGGTGGGGAAGGTGCTAAAATGGATGAAGCATTCACTCTGTCAGCTTCCCGAGTGCTCCGGGGTCTCCCATCTGCCCCCTTCCATGCCAGAAAGTTTACTTTATCCTCCAAGTGGAGGGCAAACTCATGGAGAGAGTAGAGCAAGGAGGTGCAAATACCAAAAACCCAGGAGCATAGTATCATCCCTGGGGGCTGTTGTTCTCCAGCAACTGGGACAGAGCCTACCTGCTTATTTGGAAACCTTCTAGTTATACATTAGCAAATGTGTAGGTTTAAAGGTGCTTCTTAAGGACAAATCACTGCCAGCCAGGCACATCCATTCCTTTTTTTTTTTTTGTCCCTTTAGCCTTTGTGGGGAGTAGCAGCCCTGACAGACCTCAGAAGCAATCATCTCGTGTGTTCTGACATATGAATGATACAAACAGGCAGCTCATAGCTGGCCCCAAATCCTGAATAATTTTGCTGCAGGGTGTGCTTACTTAACATCTGAATGACAAAGTAAGGGTCTTCTACAACTGTGCAAGCTCTCCTACAGAAGGTGCAGGGACCCTGAAACATCATTACTTTTTTCTCAGCTTGGTACTTGTACCACTGCACCTAACAGCACAGAAATGCACGGTTCATCATTTTAGGCAAAAAAAATGCTAAATAAGTATGAGTTTGGAGAGGGCAGGGGGAGGAGGCAGTAGGGCCTGCCTAGAGCTGGGAAATGCTGCTACTAGAGTGGTGGTGAAAAATAGCCAAGGCTTTTGCTGTTGCAGCTCAACATAGCTCCGTGTGCTGTGGACTTTTGGTGCCAAGGGATGAAGCTGGGCAGAAAACCAGCCTGCCTCGCTCTTGGAGCGGGCAGCAGCTGTCTGCTGCCACCTCAGTCACACCACTGAGGCTAGCTGGGCTCACAAAGCTGGACTTGGTGGGAAGTGCAGGAGCCCAAGGGAAGCCTGTGACTTGGGCTGGTAGGGACACCGCAGGGAGTGTGGTGCTTGGCCCCCGTGTTCAAGAGCTGGGAGGGACTAAGGGGTTGTGATTTGCCTTCTTCACGGGATGCTAATACTCCTGATTTTTTTTTTTTTTCCATTGCTAATACATTTGCAGTGGGCTGGCAACACCGTCGGGCACACTGGAGACACAGGCTGATTTAAAGGAAACAGGCAAATTAACTGAAGTTCACAAAGCCCCTGTATAGCGCTCTCCGTGCAGATACATGCACAGTTAAACATTCATTAAAAATAAGAACCTTACACCTCCTCATAGACGAGAAGAATGATTAAAAACTGCAATTGTCCTTGGTCCATGGTGGCACAGAGCATGCAGAATATAGCCCACAGGAACAGAGACCTGCAGCTTTTGCGAGGCAGTCCCCCAACATCTGGGGCACCTGAGCCATCACAAGCTCTTTTTGCCATTGAGTAACTGAGCATGTTTGTCTTCATCCAGCTTCAAGTGCTTCTTGCTGTATTTCTTGATGAGGGTCCCTGGTATCAATGCTGCCATAGCCATCGCAAGTAGTTTGAGCAGCGTGTCCCAGGAGAAAATGGCATCCAAAGAGGTTATTTGTGACAGAATGGCTCCTGTCTGCACACAGATGAAGTTATATGGTGTAAGACCTGAAAGAATCAGAGCAGAAAAAAGCCTGTTAGCATCCCCCCATGTAAAATTAGCTCTTGCCCAAGGCCAGACACAGGTGTCTGTGTTCGTAATGGAAAGAACGGGGTACGATTCAAAACTTTGCTGCGTTGGTGACACACACGTATTTGCAAAATGCTCTAAGACCTCTGAGTATAAGGGCAGCATGAAGGCAAACAGTTAAATGGGGCAGAGTCACAGCTACGACTCTGCTGCTCTGCCTTTCCCAGCTCAGCATGCTACCCAAGGCTTGGTGATGAGGAGAGAGGCAATGTCATGCTGTCCCCTCAGACAGTCTCCCCAGGCCTTACCAATGAGAACGGAGAAGAAAAACTGGGCCACAGGAATGTTTAAAATGGGAGCTGAGAGATTCAGAAACCAGTTTGGTGTCATGGGGAACAGCCTCAGGAACAACAAGAAGAAAAATAAGCAGCTCCTGTTCTCTTCTACCTGGCAAGAGAAACGTTCCAAATTATTTCTGCTCTTCAGACAGCAGTAACATCTGAACGTCCATGATGCTAAAGTGAATTTAAGTTTCCTTCTAACATGCCGCAACATAACATCAGTCCAGAACTGATGAAAAGTCGCATCTTATGTATGTATGGGAGCCTAATGGTGAGCCAGCCCCTTCCATGCAAGCGGTGAAAATGGGATCTAACCTGAATGAGAGATTGGGAAGTCAACAGCAGAACCACCTCCAGCTGTACAATGCAGGGTGGAGGCAGTTCTGGAGCACAGGGGCTTCCCAATCAATCCATTATGTTACTTCTGATTTTCCTTGGGATCTGGGATTTTCCACACACTCCCTTTGCAAACAGGCTTGCTCACAAGAGAGCGGTCTGCTCCTAGATTGTGTCAAAGGTGGCCCTTAACTGACCTGATGCATCCCCTGCAGGTATTCATTTCTTTACTAAGTCAACCCAAAAGGCAGCCTCATCCAGGGGGCATTTTGGGTGCCTGCAGAACCATGGCTGCTTACCTTTCTTTGCAGCAGAGCCACTTTATCAGGAAAGTAGTAGATGACGAACTGCTTTCCGAACGCGCCAGAGAGCAGGTAGCAGAAGGTCGCTCCCACAGATGTTAGGGCCGAGCACAGCACCAGTCCAGTCCATGGCCCAAAGAGTGCTCCTGCCAGAACGTTCTGCCAGGGCACAACACCGAGTGAGAGCCCGGGGGCACACACACACGTGTCCCCTCAGCCTGGCTGCCTTCAGCCTCAGTCGCTCTGGCTTCTCGAGGGCATCGGACAGACCCGTCTCCTCCTGGCAGAGCCGTGACTCACCCAGCAAGGCACCGACCTTGCACCTTGCCCCAGCAGGCAGCGCCTGGTCCGGGACTGGGGGCAAAGGGCCCCTCTGAGGGGTTCGTTCCAGCTCCCGCCCTGCATCCCCCCCGGCCCGGCCCGGCCCCGCCGCCGCCGCGCCCGCTCCCGCGCTGCTGCCCGGGTGCGC